ACTTCCCCTCCGACACCCCTCCCACAGGCGGCCCAGCCTCCCTCCAAACCTTCCTTCCTTCCCGCCCCTCCCTCTGCATCCCTGCAGGGCCCAGTGGCTCTGGAACGGCCTGGCAGAGGCAGTGGACACTCAGCATGTGACATGCACAAGTCCAGGAAATGAAGGCTGCGGAGCCGCCTCGGCCCCCGTCACTCCAGCCTCACGCCGACCAGCCACGGCCAGAATGTGGCGAGTCCAGGCTGGACCCCCGAGGCTGCAGCTCCGCTCAGGGACTGCGGGGACCGCCGGGGTGTCTGCCCAGGGGCACGAAATGGGGTGGGGTGGGGAGAGGGTGCAGGGATGCTCGCCACAGGGTCACGGGTCCTTGGATCCTGCTTCGTTACCAGGCAGGGCATCAGGGGAGGAGGGAACTAGGGAGCAGTGTCCTGGACCGCTCCCCTCCATTCTTCCTACAAGCTGATGTTTCTGATTCCAAATTATTTTCTTTACTCATGAGAGTGTCTGTGCACACGTGAAAGTGAGAGAGAAGAGAGAGAGAAGCACCCTCCACAGGGTCTCATCACACCGCTCTCCCCTCCTCGGGCCCTCCAGCCCCGCAGATCCTGGGCATTTGTGCACATGTGCACCTCGGGCTGACTATGTGGGGGATTCGAACTGTGATCCACACGTGGGATCTGACTTCCCAGCAGCCCATTAAAGCTGCACCATGAAGCTGGCCCCAGAAATGCAGTGTGACCCCCTCACCATCACCCTCATGTTCACAGGCAACTCCCTGTCCTGAGACCCCTTCCATAAAGAATTTCAGGGGAGGCAGTAGGTGATGTGGAGGTAAAGGCACCGAATTCCCATGTGTCCGACCTGGGCTGGAGTCTCAGACCTAGCAGCCTGAGACTCACACTAGGCGTGTGTGTGTGTGTGTGTGTGTGTGTGTGTGTGCTCAAAATCCCAAGAGGAGAATAGAGAAGGGATTGTGGCCATCCCCCCTGGAGGGGGATAGTGATTTCTCACTTCCCCTCTGCCTGCCTGTCTGTCTCTCTCTCTCTGGAGAAATTATCTTAAAGAGAAAGAATTTCTGTGGCTGGCCCCATAGCCTAGTTAAGGGAACACAAGCCCCACGTGATTGGTTTGAATCCTGACCCTGACCCTGCAGCTTGAAAAACACACCGGGCATGTGTGCATGCGTGTGCGCCCCAGATCCCAGCAGGATGGAGAAGTGAGAGGGGATGGCAGTGCGACCATGCCCCATTGTGGGGGCGCTCTCTTCCTCTCTCTCTCCAGCAAGTGCACATGTCCTATAGCAAGACATTTTTACAAAGAAAGGAAACCTTTCTGGAGCTGAAACTGGGGGAAAGCGCTGTGGTCAGGCATGCACCAGGGGAACAGAGCACGGGCTACCGGAGCTGTGATGCACGTGCACTTAGGGCGTGCGGGCTGGCCACCATGGTGCGGGGTCGAGGAGCTGGTCTGCATTTCATCTTCCCTGAAGACTCGAGCCACTTCGTTTGTCCTCAGGAAGATCTGGCTAGAACCAGGTCAGTTCCCTCCAACCCTCTGCCCAGTCACATACCTCATGTTCCCTACCTACCACCCCAAACTAGCAGTCTGCTCCCAGCCTGCATGCACGTGCCTCTGCCTGGACCACTCGCCCCTTTTCCTCATTCTGCTCCCATGCCTCCTCCTCCAAGGAGCAGCCCTGATTTTCTCCCTTACTCCTACTTCCCATTTCCAAAAACATCTGTGCTTATTCCTCTGCACCCCACAGGTCTCAGGTTGTCTTCATGTATACTTTTTTTTTTTTTTTTAAGTTTTTGCTGTATGGTATGTGCACTTGCTGGGGAGGGAGGAGGGAGTGAGAAATCACACCCACGCCCCAAAGAGGATGGCCATGCCACAGTCCCATCTCCTCTTGGGATTTCGGGCAAGCATGCACACGTGCCCAGTGTCTTTTTCAGGCCACCAGGTCCAGCCACTCAAACTGCAGAGGCGGCCATGTGGGATCCAGAACCTTGACCTCCACGCCACCTACTGGCCCCACGTACACGCTTAGTATTCCCCATGACAGGGTATTTAGGTTGTTAGTGGGGAGGGGTGTCCCACCGTGCACCCCACTGACCCTTGAGCTCCTTTGCTTTTATTCCCACATCCAGGCCGAACCGGCACAGGGAGCTCAGTGGAAGTGAGTCGTTGAACTGCGCTGAACTGGGTGCTGATGGGGGGATTGAGCCCCTCACCTCCACTCGCTCTTCTCCACGCCTGAAGTTCCTCCATTAAAGCAGCATTGCTGTCCCCTGTAAACACCCACATTAAGCCATTATTCATCATTATGGCTTGAGTAGGCGTCAGTCCCTCAGATCCTTTCTTGCTGAAAGCAGGATCTGATGGAGGGAGGGGAGGGGAGATGGATTGATCCGGGATGGCAGTGCCGCCCAGGATGGGGGAGGAGAGGGAAAGGAAGGTTTGCTGGGGAGACAAGAATGGCAAGCTCAAAAGGGTGGTGACCACGTTCCAAGTCACATGTGGTTCCTCCAGGCAGGTCCCTCTGAGACTCAGGAGTTCTTCCCTCAGGGGATATAGGGTAGCAGCATGTCCAGGAGCCTTCGCTGAGGACCCATTTCCCATTTAATGCCCTCTCTGTGCTACTTAGGGGGGGTGAGGGCCAGGTGCTGGATTCTGTGCATCCAGGAGGCATGGGCCTGGGGGGTCTTGAAGACCCCTCCCAGAAGTGCCTGGAGAGGGGGGCTTCTGGAGGCTAGGTGTGATGGGCAGGGGAGATTGTCAGCCAGGGGCAGGAGCAGGAGGTCCCTGCTTCGCTGGCGTAGGGCGGGTGAAGGCCCATGGAGAGTGAGGGGCCGTGAGAGGGGCAGAGGGTTGCAGAGAGGGGAGACGAGACTGGAACTGGAAGGAAGGGGGTGTGGAAGAGAAGGGCAGCCTATTACACTCTGGACTCAGGTGGGGGGCCACCATGTGTCACCGTTCTGTCTGTCCCCCTGGACAGGGTCAGGGGCAGGACTGGTGTTGAATTAGTGTCCGGAGGATCAAAGATTCATCCTGCCCTCCCCAACATAGAACCCCTCTGCTATTTTCTTGTTTCTTGCAGGCCCTTGATGGATCAGGACGGCCCCTAGTCCTGCAAGGATCGCTGGGCCCAGCCCGCACGTCTCTGAGCAGAGACCATGACGCACAGCCGACTCCGGAGCGGTAGAGGCGCTGCTTGCTGATCCGGACCCAGCGCGCCAAAGGGGGCGCGGGCGAGGACCCTGGGGGCCGTCCATGCCCCGGGGGCCGCCGCGCCCCCTTCCCCTCCAGCCCAGCAACCCCGCGGCTGGCGCTGGCGGCGTTCAGGGCCCGGATGCCCCGTCCGGGGCGGCGCCCAGGCGGCCACGCCGAGGCCACCATGTGACGGCACCCTTTCTGTCGTGCTACCGAGCGGCGGCGCTCTGGTGCCTCTTGTCCATGCTCCTGAGCTCTGGCCCTGCGCAGGCCAAGCATGAGGCCGCGGCCCGACGGTAGGGGGCTCCGGGCAGGAGCCGCGCTGTCCTCTGCGCTGCTGCTACTATTGCTGCTGCCACCGCCGCCGCTGCTGGGGCGCCTGTGGGCAGCCGGCACGCCCGCGCCGCCGTCGGAACCCCGCGCTGCGCAGGATGGCGCGCAGGGCGTGGGCCGAGTGAAGCGCGGCTGGGTGTGGAACCAGTTCTTCGTGGTGGAGGAGTACACGGGCACGGAGCCGCTGTACGTGGGCAAGGTAACGTTAGGGCCGCACCAGCTGTTCAGCCCCCAGGGCCCTAGGGACACCCACTGGCAGATGCAAGAAACTCTAGTTCCCCTGCTCCTCTACTTCCTGTCCCCGAACCTCCAGCTGTCCCCTGGCCAGAGGCAGACAGCTGGGTCATGAACCCCACTTCCCACTCCATCCAGCCTTTCTCATCTCCTTTCTGCATCTTAGTCCTCGCTGCTGGGCACGGGTGGAATTTAGACACAATCTTGCAAAGCTTGCTGACCCCCACTGGAAATACTTGCTGTCAGGCTCAGATTCCATCCCACTGACTGTAAGATCTGGCTCCTCCTCCAGCCTCATCTCTCCACACTGTCTCCGCCACCTGCCCTGTGCCCTCCCATGCCCATGCCCTTCTGCAAGTTCCCCTGCCCCGCATGCTCGTCCCTTTGCCTAGGCTGTGTCCTGCCCTTGAATCGCTCCTCCCTGCTCCTTCTGCTGACTCCCTTGTACCTCACTACAGGTCTCTGCTCCAATGCCGCTTCCTCGGAGCGGCCTTTCCTGCCCGCTGCAGGCTAGAACAGATCCCCTGTGAGGTACCCTCGGGTTCCTGCATCTTCCTCCGTACTTTAATTATGCATGTGTTTGTTTGATTATGCAATTAATGTGTGTCTTTCCTATTAAACCGTGTTTGCTTTGCTCACCACGAAATCCCCAGTGCCTAGCACGGACAGTGCACAGTTCATTAAATGAACGAATGAATGAATGAAAGCTACTTCCTGCACTCTGAGTAAAATGGGGGTTAATCTGGCTGAAGTTCTGTGCTTGGAGTACAACGAGCTGAGAACTTTGATGCATCCCTTGGGTCTCTGAACCCTTCCTGGGACTCAGTTGTGATGCGGAAGTGGTTTCTGCTATCTGGGGCTCTCCAGAATGGCAGAAACACCCTGGGACACACAAAGCTTCATAAGTGAGCACTTGACACTGAGTGGACACTCATGAAATGGTATCTGTTGGCTAGATTCATGGAGGAGGAAACACCCAAACTGGATTTTGATGTATGAGTAGGAGTTCATTGGGCTGATGGGGAAGAAGGTATAGCCTATACACAGACTCAGAGGGCTGAAAAAACCTGGCTTATTCAGAGACTTGTCAGGAATTGTTGAGGTGGAAGGTAATTCGAGGACGTGAAAGTGGGCTGGTGATCAGGGCCCATTCTCCGGATTCGGTTAAGGCTGATCAGCTTTCCAGGAAATTTTGGTTGCAGCAGGGGTGGGAGGAGGCCAACTCCAGCACTTCCTGTGTGCGTAAGTGAGTCTGAGGATTGGGAAGCTGAGCAGTGTAGAAATTCAGGGATCAGGGTCCTCGACAAGGAGAGAGGTGTAAGTGTAAACCTTTGGGTTTGCCTTGCAGGTAAAGCAGATTTTCTCTGGTCTAGACACAATAATCCCTGGCCCTTGGCTTCATCCCCTCCATAGCTGTGGTGCTATTGAGCTCCACAACCGAGCAAAGCAAGGGTTTGACAGCTAGGGCACAGAAAGGTTCGGGCCTGGCGCAGGATCACCCATGAATTTAGTAGCCAAGCCTGGACTGCCGAGTCCCAGTAGGGTCTCCGAGATGGGCCACAGGGCTGGTAGGATGGGGGGAGAAGTAGGAGAGGAGGGCCCTGTGCTTGCTATGTACGAAGTCGCCAAGACTGCAGGGTCTGGGACAGACTCACCCAAGTTCGAGACCTGCTTCTACCAACCCCGTCACATGGGGCCTTGAACAAGTCACTTGCCGTCCTGAGATTGGGTCTTTTTGTGTGTGAAAATGGAGCTGAGAGCCCACTTGCTGAGGTTGCCGAGGATTAAAAACGAAAACTGAGCTTGTGAAGTTGTCAGCCTGCAGCTTGTTTGTTGTTTCTTAATGATTCCACACAGAGTATTTAGCCTTTAAACGACAGGGTAGAAATCATCGCTCCCTCTCATG